GCCGCTTTATTTTATATGTAAGAGAGATAGGGCCTTTGGTTTTTTTTTTTTAAAAAGAGAGATAGGGCCTGTACTAAGGTAACCAGACTGCTGACAAATGTACTCATATATATTTTTAAATACATCCATATTATAGATTAATTACACCCAGACACAGAAATGACCGTGTTCATCACACAATTATTTGTCCGTGGTGGGAATCGAACCCACGACCTCCGGCTTAGCAGTCAGGGCTACTAACCACTAGACCAACAGGCCCGTCCAATATCTTACTTAAAGATTTATTATTTTATAAGGTGTTTATTAATTTCTACAAATGGTGATTTGTGGATAACAGTAGCTGTTAGTGGTTGTCCGTGTGGTGACGGTTCAAGAATACGGAGCGCTGCAACCCCTATTCATCCCATGGGTGTCGTAAGAGCCGAATAAGGGAGCAAATTACGGGGGACAATAACACTGTAAAGATAAGGAAAACCTGACACAAATCTTATACCAAGTCGTGCCAGGCCAGCCTACGAGAGCATGGTATTGTAAGCCAAAACCTTCTTTCTAAGGAGAGGCCTATATCCAGCAGAAGATTATTAAAGGATGTTGTTAATTACATATGTAGCTGTCAGCTTATTGGTAGTAGTCATTCTTAGCGAGTAATACAATTTTGAACTAAATGTACGCAATGCAATTGAACCATTTATAACAGACTGTTTATATTTTTTATATATAGTAAGCCAATACCTCCTTTCAGAGGAGAGGCCTATGTCCAGCACTGGACTATTAAAGGCTGTGGATGGATGGATGGATGGATGTTTATATTTTAAAGTTAAATACGTGGAAGACGTAACATAAATCCTACACTAAGTTAATAGTAAAAGTAATAAAATTAAGAGTGTAAAGTAACCACTGAAACATAAAGGTTTGAAGAACTATATGCTTACTTACTATAAATTTTTATTATTCATATAGACTTGAGACCGTGTGGTGACGGATTAAGAATACTAAGTGTCACCACCCCTATTCATTCCGTGGGTGTCGTATGAGCCGACTAAGGAAGAAAGCTACGCAGAACAACAGCAGAGACTGCAGAGAGAAGGAAAACTTGACACAAACCCTATACCAACCCGTCTGGCCAGCATGGTATAGTAGGCCAAAACCTCCTTTCTAAGGAGAGGTTTATGTCTAGCAGTGGACTATTAAAGGCTGTTGATGATTATGATTATGAATTTGCCACCGTTATCGACTGTGCTGTTTAGTTTTATGTACGAGTGTAACTCACATCGACTACACGACGACAGACATTCCAATGCTTAGTTTTTATAATGACCGGTTTTTCCAAACTCACAAATTTACAAATTATTACGATTACACTTATAATAGCTAATTAATCGTTGGATTTTATTCTGCCCTGGCTTCCTGGTAACAGTCCGTTCTAGTTACAGGTATACGAACCTGACCTGCTCGACCTATTGATTAAATACCACAATCAATCTGTTTCTTACCATTGCCGTCCGTCCTTATTCGACCTTTTCTATTAATATAATGGCACTAATTTAATATTAATACACTCGTTCAATATTATTACGCAATACGCTCGTTCCCTATCACGTAAAATGGACTGAATTTATATTGTATAAATTGTGGTCGTTTAATACGCCTACCCCTTCATAATTATAGGCGAGTCGGTATATATACATCATCATCATCAACAACAACTACTTGACATAGACCTCTCCTTAGAAAGGAGGTTTTGGTCTACTATACCACGCTATCCAGACGGGTTCTATAGGGTTTGATTCAAGTTTTCCTTCTCTGAAGTGTGTATATATAGCATTATGTATTTTTATAGCAGCATTCATATAGCCTTTAGCCTATTTATTTCCTAGCTTTTATTTGATTTAATCTTTTTGTAGGTAAAGTTAGCAAAGAGCATCAATTTGTATTCAGTCAATAGTAACCGCTAATGTGCGCCTGACGGCGACACATCATTTGTCGCGCGTCACGCCTCGGTGTCGGCGCGTCGCGTCACCGCGTCGCCGCCGTCGCGTCGGTGTCCCGTGACACAACCCACAAACTAACTAATTGTTCCTCTGACCAATGTTTTAATTAATTAAGTGATGTGGACACAGTTACTGATTTTATTTACGACCAATCTGAATTTATAATTTATACTCTGCCTTGTTATTATCTGAGTGGATTTTGTTTGGACATTCAAAAATATTGCAGTTTGGTAAAACTCAATATTAACGTGTTAAACAAAAAATATTGTAAAATTCATGTTTAAAATTAGTAATCTACAGTTTGTTGCTTTCCTCTAAAGAAATTATCTTCTTTTTCTAATAATTGCGGATATATTAACAACTATAAAAAGAACTACATTTTATATTCATAAACAAATTACAGACCAAACCGTGACAAACAGTAAAAAGTCGAACCTTTTATCTGTTGGCCAAATCAAAAAAAAAGTTTCCCTAAAAGTTCATCACTAGCTTAAAATAATGTAGACATAAAAACAAAATGAATTATTAAAAAAAAGGAAAATAATTATGACCTTCATGTCTGCACTCAGTACAGCGTTTATTTCCAAAAAAAAAAGGCAAACTAGAAGGATCTAGTTAGTCTCTTTAAAAAAAATGAGATAATAGTAAAACGATAAAATTATCAAAATATATAAAGTTATAGAAGCAATAGTAGAAATATAACTAGTTGCCTCCCACCTCCCCATTACATACACCCAAATCACATTAATCGCAATAGCGTAACTTATAATTGTAAACATTACACTCACACATAAACATTACACACAGTAATTCCTAATAGCCGCATAATCTACTCGTATTTGATGTAGTAGCAAACGCGTCCGATACGCGCGCGTTTTAATTATACGCCAAACAGTGCGTACTTATTAATGATACGCCAAATATCACGCTAGGGTTTATGATAGTTATGATTTAGTGGGACGTTATCCACACGGTTTATCCACAACGGTAAATAAGTCTTAGACTTCAGTATTTTATTTATAAATTAATAAATGTGCCATCAGTTGAGTCATTTCGATTCTCACAACCAGTAAATAGAAAATAAAATCGCTTGCAGTAATTTTGGACTGATACGACCTTCAAACCTTCCCAAAGGACGGCAACGCACTAGTGGCTCTTAGCTTCAGGTGTCAATGGGCAGTGGTTGTCACTTACTAACAGTTGACCTGCCTGCGCTTTTGCCTCAAACGTATATACATACGTATATATATATATATATACGTAATATCAAATCTCTCCTCTCTAGTTCCCGACATTTTTATTATTAAATCTCTTTCTTTAGTCAATGTAAACGAGATTTTTAACATTTTTCGGACATCTTACACACAACGCCATCTAGTTTCAAACTAAGCAGATCTAGTATTATGAAAGCTAGATTGACTGATAGAATACTTTATATACATTTATTTTGTAAATACGTATATGTTATACATTAAAAACACCTTAACTCCGAAACAAATATTAGGAGTCCAAACAAACATTTGGTCCGACCGGGGAATCGAATCCAAGACTTCAGCACGGCAGTCGCATACACCACCACTGCACCACCGAGGCAATTATTGCGAAAAGATTGAAATCACAGAGTTAAATTTAAATTAAGTAAATTCTTAGTTCACTAATAAAAATACGCTTCAAATAAAATGTTAGGTGCATATAGCATTAGCACCAGGGATTTCCTTTCTAGAGTACACCTGGTTTCCCGACTACTGGTACCTGAGACGGCGTGCGGTTTTAGTCGGTTCGAGTCCGACATTGCCACCGGTAAGTGGTATCCGAGGGGATTTCCGCACAGACAAAAAAAAAGAAGGTGTATATAGCGGGACAGAAAAATAGCGATTATCATTGATTTTAAAATATTATTTCTAAAGCTTATTCCCTTAGATTAATATAATATTCTAAATGTTTATTGATAAATGGTTTTAAATATACCAACGGTGTGTGTAGGCTTGTTATCAAAATGATGGTGTCTCTAGCTCTTCATAATATTAACGGGACAAACGGCGAACGATTGTGATGTATTTGCAGACTTGTTTATAAGCATTTGCTTTTATGATAATTGCAAACTGTAAACGGTACGCTGCCGCTGCGATGAATACGTTGATGGCCTGTTTGCCTTCCATTTTGTTCATCAAAATGTTTTGTTCAAGTCATTCGGTTGATTGATGGATATTAATTAAAAGAAGGATGTTTGCTCGACTGTTTTTTGTTGATGTTTTTTGTTTCGTTAGACAAATTTGCAGAACGATAATTTATTTGATTGTACTGACGATTTTCTTTTTGTGACAACCGCGACTGAAAAATATTTTGTTAAGATTTTCAAATACATACTGTTGTTGACACCACTTTTAAGCAATATTTGTTAGGATTTAATTTACTTGTTTGTGACTTCTGAGTTGCAGAAGTTCATGGGCGGCGATGGTCACTTCCCATCAACTGACCCGTCTGCTCGCCTGCCCCCTCCCTAACATAAGAAAAGAAAAAATACTTCATAAAGATCCTTAAAATTATAGTTTCATATATCTATGTATATATATATATATATATATTATCAAGAATACGAGCCCTATTTGAATAAAAAAATCCGCTTTCCCTTCCTTCTCCTCGTTCTAATATATACCGAAAACCCAAACCATCCCTATCGATAGCAAAATGATCCTTACTTGTGAAAAAAGCTACATAATAACGTTTTTATTTTTCAATATAGCAAAGGCAAGCAACCCTTTAACGATCACGGCGGGTCTCATGTACCCATTGAGAAACAAGATAAAAAAATAAACTTGCAAACTACTGAATTTTTCATAGGATCCCTCGCACCGGCCGTCTACCTGGCGACGAGACCGTTTCTTTGAGCGATTTAATTTAACTCACGATCCACAATTACAGGGAGACAGTCCCTTTCGGAGTTCGGTGTCAAAGCAACGAAAACTCGAATTACTCTCACCAATTTCCGTTTGAAAGGGTTCTACGAAAATGTGTAGTGGGGGATACATCGCTGGTTTTATAAAGGAAATTTCCGGCGAGCAGCTTCTAAAGGAGCATTGGAATGGTTGTTTTGAGATATTTGTGGATTCTGCTGTTGAGATGTGGAAGGTCGTCGAGTTGAATTTATCAGTGCTGTCGCTCGGCAAAGCTAATGTATTCCCAAAGTTTGACAAAGCTGACTCACCGGGTAGTCTCCGAGGAAAAAGCGAGGGTGTTTCCTAATGGAAACAAGTTTGGAATTCGTCAATGGTTTACTTTGGTGTATCACTGCCCGAGATAGACTTTACATTTCCGATATTAATTTCATTATTAACTTCTGACCTAGTTGGTTAACGTGGATGGGCTGAAATTCTGTAATAGTCCTCGTCTTGACTTTAGGAGTACATCCGAAATTGGTAATTACTTAATTGATTTCTAAAGTTAGAAACAAATTTCACCAGATCTAAATTAATACGTAAAGATAATTGAACCTTGGTATTTAAAAATGATCAAATTCACAAAATTGAAGTAGTTGTGAAAATCCCTTTTTATATAATTAATTAGATTTTTTATCACAAATACGTGATATAATGAATTCAGATAAATTCTTAAAGTAAACTGAAATCATTAATTTATAAAATTTATGGATTTAATCGTTTCTGCATAAGAAGTTACAAATGTTTTGTAACCTTTTTATTGCTCGCATAGGAATGTAAAATTTAGAGTATCTAAGATAAATATGTCAAAATATACAGAAAGTTAATTTTTTTTTGGTATGTAGCAATATTAACAAAATTATAATTTCTCTCTTTCATCATCATCATCATCAGCCTATCGCAGTCCACTGCTGGACATATTCTTACTGAATTTGGATTGTTTTAATTTAACTGAAAAGTGTTAGTTAACCTTTCGTCAATCTATAAATGACTGCCTTTTAGAAGTCTATATATATTTATATATTATTTATATATATATATGACGACTGGATGGCGTAGTGGTTTGTGTAACTGACTGCTATTCCAAAGGTCGCGGGTTCGATTCCCGCTCAAGTCAAACATTTGTGTGCACGTACATTTAATGTTTGATTTGGTCTGGGTGTTTCTATGTATAATATGTATGTATTTACAAAGAAAAAGTATTTATGTATTTATATCAGTTGTCTAGTACCCGTAATACAAGCTCTGCTTAGTTTGGCACTAGATGGCGTTGTGTGTAATGTGGTAGAATATATTATTATATATTATATATATAAGTCTATGTATATTATTTTGTCTGTAGTTTTTTTATGTTGTTTATGTTATTTACTACTACTAACTAGATAACGAATGGCAGTTAAGTATTAACTATTAATATATACCAGTAATGCCAAACTCAATCATAATTTCTAATTCTAACTTCAAAAGTTCACGACCAAATTGACTGCGTCCTTTTAATTTTAACTTGTTCCATAGTTACGTGCGTAATCATATAAAAGGCACTTGATTCAATGGCGCGTCAAATTAGAGTGCCACGTAACCAATAAATGCGCGGTGCTAATTGTGTAAGATATTTATTGTAGGCACGGTCGATTGTACCCGATCGTTTATTATCGAGTGATGAGTACCGGTGACTTATAATTTGTTTTCAAGGCATATATTCGGCAAATAATATTAACGATAATGAAAGATTGTGCTTGTCATAGTAAAATTAAGTCTCTTCTGAGTTTTTGCAAAAGAAAATGTATTGAGGAAAAACTAAGAGTGACGTCAAAATTATAATTATATGGAGAACGAGGCGCCATGTCCTTCCAACACAAATAGAAGATCCTCCGACCAGGAGGTAATGGCGTGCATGTATGGCGGGTGGCGACCTAAGTGTTTTTTTTTTACTCTTTATATCGCGATGCAGGATTTGTAGTTACTCCGTAGTTTAGTGTTTCTTCATTAGATGGCACTGTCTATTTTGGCTCATTATAATGTGGAAATTGCCACACTTTTATAAAATATTAGCTTTTGTCCGCGTCTCCGCCCCCAAGTATGTCAGTCATCGCGGTAGAAATAAGCCTATGTTACCCGCTGATAATGAAGCTTGGTAAAATATTTTTTTAAATGGATTTAGTGGTTTAGGCGTGAAAACGTCACATAGAAACATACTCACTTTCACAAATATAAGTAAGTATGAAAGTATGGATTAATACAACAAAGATGAACCATTGTTAAAATAGATAACTCGTTTTATGTATTAGGTACGTAACACTTTATTCAAGCTGAAATTTCGATTGATGTGGATAAACGTATTAGTGAATCTCCTAAATTATTTGGTTGAATAAGTAAATAGGTTAGTGAGATGTGAAACGACTGTACCACGGTGTCTGTAGTTTACATTGTAAATGTAACAATTTACAAGACAAATGCGGGATTTGCTTTCAATTGTCTACACCTAAGTGTTAACAATACGTTAAATTCATTTGTTTAATATACAATTATGTACACGATGTATTTATTGTTTAGCTTTGGTCTAGTAATTTTGGTTGTATTAATCACTTTGTCTGTTATTTCAGCTATCACTCTAAGACTCTTAAATTATTTAAGATATACGCTTGTATTATGTATTCTGCTATGTAATTGGCTATGTTTCGGGCCTGATAGAGACACTTTTTTATGGCAGGGGGGGGGGGAGCACACGATCAGACGGGTCATCTGATTAGGACTGCAACAGTCACAAGTGCAGTACCTCCCCACCCTCTACCCCTCAGAATCAGGGTCTAGGCCCTATAACCTCACTCACTCGGTGAAAAGCAACGAAAAATTACATAACACCGGTTTTCTGTGAGAATGTGATGTCACTCCGATCGAATCTGGCCCATTATGTGCAGATGCACGGCTCTGCCACGATGCGGCATAGCTGTCACACGGTTTGGTTTTGTCTTTAATCATTATTACGGTTTCATTTTATTCCAATTATTAGATAGAAATAATCTTTTAAGCAGAACGTATTTAACGAGATCTCTGTAGAACTCTTAATCATCGTCATTAACAGCCTTAAATAGTCCACTGCTGCTCCTTACAAACAAAGTTTTGGACTACTAAACCACGCTGGCCGTGTTGGTATAGAGTTTGTTTCAAGTTTTCCTCCTCTTTACAGTACTGTTGTCGGCTCTTACGACACCCACGGGATGAATAGCGGTGGTGAGACTCCGTATTCTTGATTTATAAGAAATAGTTAAATACATTTCAAATAAGTACGTAGTTGTATTTCTAGAGTAATGAAAACTCTGATAATAAAAGTACAGAGTAATAAGAAGCGTTCGCGGAACTACTGCTATGAATTGACTTCTGGTGCAGCACTTGTTCAAGCTGTATTAATTAGTGTGTGCGAGAGCCGTGGAATCGACGCCTTCACCGCAAACACTTAGTCTTGTACTCGTAATTAAAGGACTCGCTTTGTTAGCAGGAAGAAAGTATTTCTCTGCTGCTCATTTTAATTTATTAATAAAAAACCAATAAAGAAATATTCGTCTAGGTAATGTAAGTGAGGGGGGAAGTGTTTTTTCCCCTGGAATAGGGCCTGATTAGGCATGATGTCAATTCGGGGAGGACCTGAAATAACATGGTCCAGGTCCTCCCTGAGTAGGGCACCTGAGCCGGCCGTCGGGGTGGTTTTAGTGAAATCACTACAAACTCTGGCTCCTGAGTCCCCGAGGAGCAGGAGATCTAAAGGGATTTTCCATCACGTCAACAAAAAAAAAATGTAGGTGAATTTTTATTAACTTTTTCTATTATTTTCTTTTCAAATAATAAAATAACTCTTTAAAGTGAAAAATAAGATGTTTTCCTCTTAAACGTTTCTATTATCATTTCATATGATTAATAGATTTAAAAAGTTCGTTGTTTTAGTATGTGTTGGCCCCCTACAGTGTAGGTTCCGTAGTTTATTAGAATCCGTTTTGAACAAGTAAATATTCATGTACTTTTGCCTACTAATATTTTTTCTCAGTTGGTAAGGACATCTTTTAGAAACAAACAAAATATAGATAAAGACAACTCCCGCATTAGGAATATATATTCTGTGTCACATGATCTTATGATAAAAGTTTCTGGTCCCTTTAGCCTTGAGCTCCCCGAGGGCTTCATGGACCCTGCGCTCTTTGCAACAAGAAAAAAATCCTTGCGATGCTCTCAGGCCCTAGACGCATGTATTTCACTATGAAACCCTAAAAATAGGTTGAATAATAGTATAACAAGATGTGAATATACCTTTATTCATCTGTCTTCATCCAATCCTATATTACAATATTTTAATATTCATCGTTTTATCACAATAAGAGCAGTTTTCTTACAATGTCAGGGAAATTTAATATGTTTTACATATTCTTTTATCAAAACGAGATTGTAAGAAATCTAGATATTTTGATTAAATTATTTTATGTATTCTCAGATACAGCTCTTCTGTCAAATATTCCATATTTCATTTGTTTTATTACATATCTACCCTTGTACATATTTATCTCATACGTAAGTAAACCTTGTCACCAAACCTTTAAGTATCAATTCAAACTACAAGTCTTTTTTGATATATATCAAAAATCCTAAATACTCCACAAAGCGACTGGATAAACAAAGATATAATAAACAGCATCAATCAAAGAAACAAGCTTTGGACCACACTTAAAGAAAACTCACATAACAACAACCTCAAAGCAGAATATTTTAAAAAGAAACAACAAGTATTTGCACAAATTCAAAACACAAAGGATTCATATTACTACAAGAAATTTAATGACTGTATTAATAAGCCAAAAAGAATATGGAACCTAGTAAATGTATTAGCGAATAACAAGATCAAACAAATTAGTGCTCCTTCAAAACTGCTTATGGATTCAAAATATGTAACTGACGAGAATGACATGTGCAAAATTTTTAATAATTACTTTGCTACTATTGGCCCACTATTAGCAAATAACATACCCAAAAACTTCCATGACAACTCTTCTCGCGCTCTTCCTTGTAATCCCCCTAGTGACACTCCAGTTTTATCTAGGCTATATCCGTGTTCTGAGGCTGAAATTTCTAAAATAATAGAGAAACTCGACTCCAACTGCAGTACTGGATTAGATGGTATAAACACTAAAGCAATAAAAAGTATAAAAAATCTAATAGCTAGCGCCTTGAGTAAATGCTTCAATAAACTTCTGTTCACTGGAAAATTTCCTGATACCCTAAAAATGGC